TGAACATAATTTGCAGCCATTTTCTGGGAATCCTGGGGACGGACCTGGACAGTGTCCAACTTCCTGGCCAGTATTTAATAAAGTTTGATTCAAATTTGACTTTAAATTGTGCTAGTAGTCTTATTCTTGCCTAAGCTTCATTACATTTCCTAGTGCCCCCTTTCTCTTCAAACTATATATTTTGTATTTTTCCTAACTCAGCTTGCTCCTTTTCATCACAGATCTGCATAAGACTGGTTACTAATAACCACACAGCACAGTCAATACTAGGCTGTCTAGAAATCTCCTCTGCTAAAGCTGCTAATCCATAACTCTTCAGGATGATTTTTTGGATAAGGGCAGAAAACAGCCACACACTTCACCAAAATATCACAAGAATGATCTCTAGGCCACTTATTAATATTCTTCTCATCTGAAACCTCTGAACTGGGTCCCTGCAGTTCAAATCACCCTCAGTACCACTGTCTTCAATGCTCCCACTAGGATGGTCCATTGATCCCCCTTTAAATTGTCAAGTCGATTTTCTAGTCCTAAGCCTATATTCCTCTAAACAATCATAGTGACGCCTTTCACAGCAATACCCCAGTACCAGGTAATAACATCTGTCTTAGTTAGGGTTTCCATGCTGTGAAGAGACATTGTGACCATGGCAACTCTTATACAGAAAACATTTAATTTGGGCTGGCTTACAGTTCAAAGTCTTAGTTCATTATTGTCATAGAAGGAAGTATGGTGGTATGTGGGCAGACATGGTGCTGGAGAGATTGCTGAGTTGTACATCTGGATTGCAGGTATGAGGAAGAGAGATACTGAGCCTGGCTTGAGCATTTGCTACCTCAAAGACCACCCTCAGTGACATTCTTCTCCAACAAGACTACACCAATCCAACAAGGCTACACACATTCTAATCCTTTCAAATAATGCCACTCCCTATGAACCCATGGGAGCCATTTTCATTCAAACTGCCACAGACACTATGACCAAGACAACTTATAAAAGACACCATTTAACTGGGGGCTTGCTTACAGTTCCAGAGGGTGAATCCATGACCATTGTGAGTTAACATGGCAGCATGCAGGTATGGCACTGGAGCAGTAGCTGAAAACTCAGATTTAATCTGCAAGTTGTAGGCAGTGAGTGTGGACTTTTGAAACCTCCAAGCCCATCTCCAGTGACAAAAGCCTCCAATAAGGCCACCTCTTCTAATCCATCCTAAATAGTCTACCAACTAGGGAACAAGTATTCAAATATATGAGCCTATGGGGGCCATTCTCATCCAACAAACACACCTGCTTCATAACAACCAACTTCCTCAAGAATCTGAGAGCAGAATCAGACCCTCTTGACAACCTGTTCTCTTAAAGGGTCCAGCACTTCTCAGTACCACTGGGAATTAAATTTCAATAGAGGTTTCAAAGGAGATGAACCTCATTCAAACCACAGCAACCATCATGTTGAAAAAACATCTAAATGTCCTTACCATTCCTATACAGACAAACCAACTTACAATAGTGCAGCTGAGCAATGTTTTAGGTCATGATGGTGTAAAAGTGATACACAGGCAGCAGAAACCATACTTTGAATTTTGATCTTCTCCTGGGCTATCAATATGCAGTCCAATATTCTCTTGTGACAGCAGGCATTGACAGCAAGCTTTGGACAAAACTTTGGACAAAGTGTAGCGAGTGAAAGACTTCAGAGCACTCAACCTTAAATGTGATGCCTTCATTAAACCTCTCCCCCAAGGCTCAGGGAACTATGCAGAAAAGGAGGAAACTTTGTGAGAGCCAGAGGTGGTGGATAATTTCTTATGGACACAACAAGCCTGGTGCATATATGAATCACAGGCTATGGCAACATAAATAGGGCCTGCATAGGTACAAGGCAGATAGGGTTCCAGCACTGGGTGGAGAAAGTGGACCCAGGAGCCCAACCTAACTCTGAACTTATCTGCAATTGATACCCATTGGCAAAGAGAAAATCAGTTTTCTCCAATAGAGTCAGTCTTATAGGCATATTAACCACATGTCAGGGGTGGGCTCAATGCACAGGAGTAGTTGGCCAACACAAACAAAAAACTCTCAGTGGTATCTTTTTAGATGTTTTTTGTCTCATTTTGCTTTGTTTGGATATTCTCTCTCTCTCTCTCTCTCTCTCTCTCTCTCTCTCTCTCTCTCTGTGTGTGTGTGTGTGTGTGTGTGTGTGTGTGTGTGTCTTACTAGTTGTTTGCTTGTTTATTTTGGCTCTCATTTTCATGGGTTTTGTATGTGTGTGTTCCTTGTTTGTTTTTTTTTTTTCTCCCTGTTTTATGTTGTTATAAAGAGAAAGAAAGAACATAAAGTTTGGTGGAAGGATCTGGGAGGAATTGAGGGAGGGGAAATACATGATTAAAATTTACTGTTTTGAAGAAAAAACATTTCCCTCTTTTGTCTTTTTTGAGACAGAGTTTCTTTTTGTAGCCTTGGCTATCTTGGGAACTCAGAGATCCATTTGCCTCTGCCTCCTGAGTGCCAGAATTAAAGGCATGTGCCATCACTGCCTGGCCGAAAAAATATTTAATAATAATAAAAATAAAACAGTACTCTACAGTATTGTGTTATTAAGCTTTTTTGCATACTTTGTTTTGTGATTTCATATCCCATAACATTCACAAAATGCTAGATGCCTGTACAAGTAAAATATTCAGCACTTTTTAAAATACAATAGACTTTTTATAAGATAATTTTGCCTAACTTCAGGCTAATGTAAGTGTTCTGGGCATATTTAAAGGCAGCTAATACCAGTAAGGTATCTCAGTGGGTAAAGGCACTGTGGCCAAATCCAATGACCTGAGTTTGACTCCTAGGACTCACACAGTGAAAGGAGGGAACCCTTTCTTTTCATTTCCACATGTGTTATGTGGCAAGAGCCCTGGCCCATGCTCACATGTAGACAAAAGAAATAAAAATTTAAAAAGTGGATTAAGCTAAACTGTGATGCTCAATAGGTTAGATATATTAAACTCATCTTCAGCTTATGATATTTTCAATTTATACTGGGATATGATAGAACCTAAACATCAGGAAGCAAGTCTGTCTGCCTTGCAGAGAATTGACAAGGGCTTGCTGGCAATAATAGAATATGAATCCAAATCAGAGGTTTCTGCAGGGAGAGTGGCTGCCAAAGTCACCCCAGTTAGGCTGTTCCAGAAGCTGGCTCTAGCATCTGGAGGTGTAAGGTATCCACAGGTGACTCTGCAGGACACACTTCATGGAAGAAACTATACAACTTGTATTTTCCACTTAGTTTCATATTCTAGAAAACAAAAAAGTAAAGTAAAGTAACCTGTAATTCCCCCAGAAAAGGCCTGTCTTAATGTCTTGCAGCTATGAGACATATTATGGACTGAATTAATAGCAGTTGATTATGTGGCAAGTGAACATTTAATACTTGTACATTAATGATTTAATGTAGTTCTCACAGCAGTGTTGTGAGGTAGCTTGTTATTCTCATATTGAAAAGAAAGAAAGCTGTAGGGCTATGAGGACTTGCACAAAAGCCTCCAGTATGTAGCAGAGTGTTTGTGACTCTCTCAGGTAGAAGGAAAAATAATTGTGTTATTTTTATTTGCAATGCTTTAATGTTTCCTATAGTTATTTAAAGACTTCCAGTTATCATGCCATACTTTGCTTGTAAAACACATTATTATAATAAAATAATCAGTTATTCTTTATTCTGTTTTTATTTTTTTATTCTTTAATTACTACTCATATTTACATATCCATCCCCCCATTGCCTTGCCCTCCCATCCTCCCATGTTTCTCCCAACCCACCCCCCAACTCCTCCCCAGGGATGGTAAGGCCCACCACGGGGGACCTTCAAAGTTCGTCATATCATATATCATATCATATCATATCATATCATATCATACAGCCTAGGCCCTCCTTGCTGTATCTGGGCTGCAATAGTCTCCCTCCATAGGGAATGGGTTCCCAAAGTCCATTTGTGCTCTAGGTATAAAGACTGGCTCCACTGTTAGAGGTCCCATAGACTGTCTTGGCCTCCTAGCTGGCACCCACATTCAGAGGGCTTGGTCCAATGCTGTTTCCCCAGCTTTATGACTAGGGTCTCCATGCTATTAAGTAGGTCAGGTCCACTGTTTCTGTGGGTTCTCCAACCCCATCTTGGCTCCTTGCTCATCCCTCCTCCCTCTCCACAACTGAATTCCAGTAGTATGGTTCAGTGCTTAGCTGTGGGTACCTGTTTCTGCTTTGAACAGCTACTGGATGAAGGCTCTAGGAATGGTAACCAAGGTAGGCATCAATCTCATTATAGTGGAAGGGCATCAA